TGTAAGCATCCCCGATTTTATGATTAAATTTACAAACAGACGTTTTCTGGAAAAGCTGACTACTAAACCCCAAGCTACTAAAGCATCGATATCCCGCTGAAGTGCTTTACAATCAGCCTCAGGCTCAATAATCCTGAATAATTTTAAATCATCCGCAAAAGAAGGAGTTTATTGCAAGTCAAATATAGCGCAATATCATCAATAAATAAGGTCAACAGTAAAGGTCCAAGATTTGAACCCTGAGGCACTCCCGATTTAGTTACGTAACAGTACGACTTAAAGCCATTGAAAGTAACATATTGCTTCCTTTCATAAAGATAACTTTGAATGAGTGATAAAGCTGATGAATGGGATCCATAATGAGAAAGTTTATTTAAAAGTATTTCATATTCCCGCTTTAGCAAAATCGTTGTACCTAAACTAAATCTATTTAACCTTGCCGATCGACAGAGATAGCGATATTGCCATAATTGCTTAAACGTCAAGATACTTAAGATGTGTATGTAACTCTGATGTGATGTAGCATTTGCTTCGGAGATGGCACTAGCAGAGGCCATTCATACATTCTAAGCTGTTAGTTCTGTACTATAGGTCGTTGTGCCATTCCTCCATAGGTGGCGCTCAGAGCGAGAACGCGTGGTGTAGGTTAGCAGCTAGCTAGTACACAAGTGACAAGTAAGGCGATCATGCAGCGATTATTATATATAATACGTGTGCCGGTAGATCTAATAGTAGAGTAACCGATTTGTTAAGACTGTCTACCTCTGATTAAAAGTGACTTTACTTTTAGTAGCCAGTGTACTTTGTAGCTACGATTTAACTCGATTGCTGATAGCAATCTTGCTGCAGCGTTTCTAAATACGGCATCAAAACCACTGCACTAGCTTACTTGTCCCGGCTATATTTAGATGAAATTGATTTTAGACAAGTTCCTATTTAAATTGAAGATCGATAGAAGTCTGGTCGTATTGTTGAACAGCGGCAATTCATCTAAAGATCGTCGTATTTATAGGTCCGTTTGGTATCCCTGTGGTATGAGTTCTTTTATGTCATACAAAGCGAAAGCAGAAAGCCTTGTTATCTACTTATACGTAAGCTCAATGCTTACGCGACCGCAATAGTTTGGAAAATTAAAAAATCGGGACCGTTTGGAACACAATGAGAAATTATTCAAATATCACGTATCACGAAAGGTTGGGAAATCTCGAAACTGGAGATACTACAGACCAAAATATGTGAATTGACCTAAACATACCTTAGTCCAAAAGTTGATAGTTTGCGAGATACAGGGTGTCAAAGTTACAATTTTATTTTTTATTTCTCCTTATTGCTTGAGAACTATTTTAGATTTTGGCATAAAACTCGGTATTGGGAGGTTTTCTAGTATGAAAAACAAGAATCCGTTATTTTTGATGGCCAAATTTCTAGAGGGCGCCACTTACAGCACTATTTCGGTAAATAATTATAACTTTTTTGTGCTACCCTGTATACACATTTCAAATTTGAAATACGCGGCAACCGTATACGCGAGGATGCGGGGACAGGTCCTTGATCGACGCGTTCGGCGTGCGGGTTTTCAGTGACGGGGTCCATTTTCTCTTAGAGAAACATCAACAACACCTACATAGTCCAAAAGTGACTGTTTGGTGGGCCATATCCTCTAGCGGTATTATTGGGTCGTATTTCTTTGAAGAGGAAAACGGACATGCATTGACAGTCAATTTCGAGCGATACAAGGACATGATTGACACTTTTTTTGCTCCTATTGTAAGAGGAGAACGTCGATTCAAGCGAAACACATGGTTTCAACAGGATGATTTTAAATCAAAAACTGAACTTTCCCACTGGACATCCTGTATAAAAGCTGCTCCAGTAGTTTTCTTCCTTAAGTCAGCATTTTTGAGGTTTAGTCATCTCCGGACTCTCAGATAAAATGCTGATAGAATGCTTGAATATCATGGAGCCCTATTTTCGAACTGAAAACAGATTTGAGTCGAGCTGGGGCTAAACTATCTTGTTTTGCATTTGAATCATGCAGGGGCGGCTGGTCCTTAAGTTCTGCAGAGCTGTTTTAAACAGAAAAAAGCAGTAGATAGTAATTTGATCATTATTTATTTTCCATGTTATCACACAAATAGAAACAATACCGGCCAGCGCCCGCAAGACACGGCGTCGAGTCTGTTTTGTACTAAGAAAGCATTATAATCGACCAATTGTGTATACTTTATCTGAAGTCACTTGAAACACTGTGAAATACCGGGTGCGTTTTATATATCTATATTTAACACGCTCTGTTGCTGCAAAAATCGACAAATTTCGCAGCAAATATCAAAGGCAGTTTCACCGGTCCACGTGGAGAGCACGCCTATGCGTGGACATAGCCAATGAGAGAGCGTGTATTTCAGAGCTCCGAACAAGTGCAGGTGGCTACTGAAGATTGAAACAGTTTAGCCAGTGCCGTGTAGCGGTGAATAAACGTGTTTTCTTTAGTCTGTCCGTGTTTTTTCATAGATTTTATTAGTTTGTGTGTTTTTGACTTTTGAATACTCAGTTTACTTGTTGATTTAATTGTTGTGTTGATTGTTCTTGTGTGTCCTAAATATGGCTCTTTGGAGACCTTGGGAAAATGCTCCAAGCCACGAGGAGATGGCTGATGAACCTGTGCAGGCAGAAATTCTTTCATAAAGATTTAGAGGAACAGACCCAAAGAGTAATCCTAAATATGTATGATTGTCTGAAAAACGAAAATCCAGATTCCTCGCAAAATCAAATTTTAAACAGAATTTGTATCCTGACAAAAATCAGTCGGTCTACCATTTATCGGGTTATAAAAAGGGGAGATGTAGTCAACCATTCCTTCCACAGAAAGCGCATAGGGCAAAAATTAAAAAGAATAGACGTGGGTTTTCAGGAAGATATTCGTCGTATAATATACAGATTTTATAAAGAAAATTTCGTGCCCACGTTGGAAATGATACGGGATAAATTAAAAGATTATCCTGAAGTTTTTTATAATTACAAATGCTTAGACTCACTGCACTGTATTGTAAAACTGTGGTTTTCAATACAAAAAATTAGATAAAGAATGGTGATTATGGAGTCGACTCGAATCGTTGAATCGCGCCAAGAATTTTTGCACAAAGTTAAAATATATAGAGAGCAGAAAAGAAATCTGATTTACCTGGATGAAACGTGGTATGATACCCATGATGTTGTGCAGTACGGCTAGGTTGACGACAGCAACAAGTGCATTTTAAATGCACCATGCAACCGTGGAAAACGAATCATTATTCTCCATGCTGGCAGTGAAAATGGATTTATACCTAATGGCTTGCTGTTATCTGCCAAAAATATCAAAGAATCATGTGCCGACTATCATGAGGACATGACCTCCGACTTATTGGAAAAGTGGATAGAGCAGCAGTTAATACCAAACATTTCCCCAAATTCAGTGATTATTATGGACAATGCGCCATACCATTCCCGACAGAAAAACAAAATTCCGAATACAGGCACAAAAAAACAAGACATTATTGAGTTTATGAAGGATAAGGGAATGGAAATACCACAAAAATCAACCAAAGCCATATTATTGGATCTTATTAAAAGACAAAAATTTGAAAAAGAGTATGTTGTTGACAATCTGCTTCAGCAAAATGGCCATGAAGTATTACGTCTACCTCCCTATTACTGCATTTTTAACCCGATTGAGTTGGTCTGGGCTGCTTTAAAAAAAAAAAGTAAGAAAACATAATCAGACCCCTCAATTAAGTGAATCGCTATTGGCCACAATAAGAGATGCAGTATCTCATATTGCTGCCACAGACCTATGGAAGCAGTGTTCTAGGCATATTATTGAAAAAGAAAATGAATATTGTGTTTTGCCTCCTGTAAATCCCGTTGTAATTCCTCTACAAGATGACTCTAGCGACAGCTCCGAAGGCGAGGATGATATATCAATGCCTATAATGTAAGTCTCTATATACCTTTTTATATACCTACCTGCTATGTAAATATTTGCCTATGTCAAACGTTGGAATTCTGTAATTTTTCCATTTCTTAACTTTCAGTCAACATAAATTAAACTCCCAATATAAGTATTTTAAATCCCAAATCAAAAAATAAGAAGATAGTAAAATCCATTTATTGTGATATAAAAACATTATTATTATCGTTCTAAATAAATGACCGCACGCCTATGATACGTCATGAAATTACAAAGGACGCGCCGACCAAAGGTTTTTATGCTATTTCAAGTGACTTCAGATAAAGTATACTTCATTTTCGTAGCGACCGTAGCGTAACATTATTCATGGGCCCCTTGAAAAGGGTCTGTGCGCTACTTCGACACAAGCCGCACGCGTTTGCTGTTGTTTCTCTCTACAAAATCAAATGCGCGATTTAAGCATAAGCATGTGCTGCAAGTTATACAGATCCGTACAGATCTAATGCGAAGTACGATATCTGATTGGTCGGTCGGGGCTCGGTCCTCGGCATTGGCATATTGGGCTTGTCGCGTGACGTGGCTTAAAATTTGAATGCGAACAATTTTTTATTTAGGTATTTTGTGTCTTACGTTGAGTGTCTAGTGACTCACTGACTGACTGTGGCTGTGTAGAAGGGATGTGGTTTACAGTCTGATCAGCGTGAAACGATTCTGAAAACACACATTTGAAGAAAAAAATGAGCTGAAGGTGTCAGGTCGACCGCTGCCGGACATATTTATAGAAACACAGGGCGTTAGTCGGGGCAAGGGCTATACGCGGCATTTCAGCAGGGAGATTTACACCAGAAATGACTGGATTTGTGGGTGCAACAGGAAGAATGCCCTTTTCTGCTTTCCTTGCATACTTTTCGGCGCTGACAAAGCTTGGACGGAGGTAGGTGTTACAGATTTATTGCACCTGAGTGAAAAAATTAAGAAGCATGAAAACTCTAAAACACATCTTCATAATTCGATGGAATTGGCTTTATTGGGGACTGTTAACATCAGATTCAGCATGACAAAAAACAGGTACGTTCTATCAAAAACAATCGATGGTATAAAATTTTGCGGAGCATTTGAATTGGCGCTACGGGGCCACGACGGAACCCAAAATCCTGGAATATTTCGTGGACTGATTAATTTTTCTGCTGAGCTTGATACAACCTTGAGCGAACACATAAAAAATGCTTCAATATTTAAAGAAACTTCGAAAGAAATACATAACGATCTACCGGATTGTATTCTTGAAGTTTGTCATGAAGCAATAATAAAACAGATTAACAGAGCCTCGTATTTAGCGATAATAGCAGATGAAACAACGGACATTGCGGGGGAAACCCAACTGGTAACAATATTCAGATACGTATTTAACGGCGAATCAGTAGAACGTTATGAATCCCGAAAAATGTGACGCTGATACTTTCACAAGACATATTTTGAGCGTCGTAGATCCATTAACAGGAAATTTCCCTAACAAACTGATTTCACAAAGCTATGATGGGGCCGCGGTAATGAGCAGACATAATGCTGGAGTACAGGCAAACATTAATCCATTTGCTCACTATGTGCATTGCTATGCGCATCAGTTAAACCTGATTATGTCCCAAGTTGCTTCCGCAAATGCTCACGTTCAGGTGTTCTTTGGGGATTTGAAAGATATTCCGGGATTTTTGAATAATTCTCCTCAACGCGTAGAGGTACCGAACAGAATTTTGAGGAAAAAAATTCCCCAAAGAGCAACAACTTGTTGGAATTTTAATATTCGAACAATAAATGTAGTGTTTGAGAACAGAGAATCACTCATTGAATGCATGGAAGAAATAGAAGAAAATTTCACTAATGAAACCGTTTGCAAGGCAGCTTGCGGTATTCGCCGTATGTTAAACGATTCTGTTTTCGTGTTTTGGTTGACATTTTTTCATCATGTCATGCCTCACGTCGACATCTTGTTCAACCAGTTGCAAAAGAGAAAAACCGAGCCAGCGCAAGTTAAAACGGCTATCGATAATTTTGAAAAATGTATTGTCGATGTGAGAAATAAAATTGATGACATAATAAATGAAGCCAAAAGTATTTGCACTGAACCCCAAGGCAACAAAAGGACACGACGTAATGATAGCAGTCACGATCACCGAGTTGCTGGATTAGAAATACACGACAATATAGTGAATTCTGCAAATGACAGATTTCAATTCAAAGATCATTTGGTAGCCGCATCCCTTTTTTTCCCGAACACTGGAGAATACTGTGGTAAGTTTCCTTAAGACAAGTTGGAAACTACCTGCTTGGCTTATCCCGAATTAGAAAAAAGTCGTTTAAAGACAGAGTTGTCCCTTATTTGTGCACGGAATAATTGCTGAGATTTACATGGAACTTTGTCTCTTTTGAAATGTTTGATACAAAATAGTTTGGAGGAAACACTAAAAGAAACAAAAAAGCTATTAGAAATTCTTGTTACAACTCCTATGTCAACATCAGAGGCTGAGCGAAATTTCACAACATTGAAAAGAATCAAGACCTTTCTTCGAAATACTATGACTCAGGATCGCCTTACAGCGTTGTCGATGCTGTCCATTGAAAAGGAATTTATTTCGACCATGGAAAATTTCAACGGGAAGGTGATCGACAAATTTGCTGCCATGATGGAGCGCAGGATCGAACTGACATATAAAAAATAGGTAACTTCGGATTTGCAGGACACCTGTTTTATTCTGCCACGAGCCGCCACTGGAATCATGTATCAGGTAACCAAACAAGTTCGTGCGGTTTTTAGTAGAAAAATATAAATTTTTATTGAGAAACAATAAGACACTCTTTATTGGTCAAAGTAATTACTATCACATTCAATGACCTTTTGCCAACGTGGAACCAATTTTTGTATGCCGATATTGTATTTGGAGTCAAAAAATTGGCGGACTGCATTTATTACACCATCTCTAGTTGTGAACTGTCGGTGCCTCATACAGTTGTCAATTGACAAAAAAAGGTGATAATCACTGCCCGAAATGTTGGGAGAATATGGCGGGTGCGGTAACGTTTCCCAGCCGAGTTCAGAAATTTTTTCTCGGGTCACTTTTGCGGTATGAGGCTTGGCGTTATCCTGCAAAACTATCGCTTTCTTCCGATTGATCAAAGAAGGCTGTTTCTGGATAAGTCCTGCTAGTACTCGCTGAAGCTGCTCATAATACAAGTTAGCAGTGGTGGTTTGACCCCTTTCCAAAAACTCATAATGGACAATTCCAGTTGCTGTCCACCAAACAGACAACAAAACCTTGTTTGGGTGCAAGGAAGCCTTGGGCTTGTGTGGTACCGAATCAGTAGGCGACAACCAATGATACGAACGCTTAGAATTCGCATACAAGATCCATTTTTCGTCGCCGGACAATAACCGATTAAGAAATGGTTCATTAGCGTTGCGTGAAATGTTTGCTGATCACACCTTCAAAAAACTGATAAATTCTGTGGCAAACTGGACGGTTTGTTACACTAATATACAATCTCTCTTTTCTAAGCTACTTGAACTCCAAGCATTTGTTCGAGACAATAATCCAACGTTCGTTTGCCTTACTGAAACATGGCTCCATTCCAACGTGTCCGACTCTTCCATCAATTTGCCTGGATACTATTTATACAGAATGGATTCACCACGCACTCCAGGTTTTGGTGGAGTATGCATTTATGTTCGCACGGAAATCGCGTCGGCTTTCTCGGTATCTGCCTCTTTCAGTCCTTTCGATGGCATTGACAATCTATTTTTGGAATTGAGGTGCCCAAATTTCAGCTTCACGATAGGCTGCATATATCGGCCACGGCCCTGTTTGGGAGACACACACCTGTGCAGTCTCATTTCAGATCTCTTAAATAAAAACACCAACCTTTTCATAGCTGGTGACTTCAATCTACGTGACATTAGCTGGCCTATGTCAACCATTCCTGAATGCAATTCTTCTTCTGCTGCTTACATCGACTTGCTACGCAACTCTAGCATATCTCAACTTGTTGATCATCCAACGAGATTCAGGGAAGGACAGACGCCTAGGGCTCTGGATTTGATATTCGTTAACGACGCCGACTTTGTTTCTAATTTAGATTATTTGCCACCTTTTGGCAAGTCTGACCACTGTTCACTTTTATCTTCTCTCCAGTTCAATATAAATAGTCGTACTAAAACCGATAAGTTTAAAACCATCAAAATTGTAAACCACGATGCTCTTAACCAAGCCCTGTCTGAAGTCAACTGGCCTGCTTTGCTTAACAACCGTAGCACCCAAGATATGTGGGACACTTTCGCTCAACGAGTCCTGAGCGAAACGGCTGACAATACTGTTGAAAAGAAGGTATACTGTGACCCCTCAAAGCCCTGGATCAACTCTAACATATCGAGGATGCTTCGTCACAAGAGATCTTTGTGGCAACGGTTTAGGAGGAGCGGCCATTCACAAGATTACGTGTCTCATCGATCCTTTTCTAACCTCCTATCTAGAACGTTACATAATGCCAAACATGCTTATGAACGAAAACTCGTTACCTCCAAAAATAAGAAGAAGCTGTTTCGGTATCTAAGAACAAACCTGAATTCCAAAGTTTCATCACCTCAGATCCGCGACGCTGACGGTCATCTCCACGTGGATGCCACCGAATCTGCCAACTTACTGACAGAGTCCTTTAGCGATGAGCCTAATGGAGACCTTCTACCGACCACTATCTGCCATAGGTGTCCCAACAGCGAAGTTGAGTTCCTACCTGAAGATGTATTAATGCACCTGCGAAATCTGAAGACCTCTTCCTCCCCTGGTAAAGATGGGATGACGGCTGCTGTACTTAAAAACTGCGCTTCAGCACTGGCCCTACCATTTAGCTTGATATTCACATCGTCTTTTAGATCTCATACCCTACCCTCATGCTGGCTTAGTGCTTCTGTTACCCCTGTATTCAAAAAGGGCGACAAATCCTCCGCTAAAAATTATCGACCAATAAGTCTCGTTCCTATCGCCGCCAAAATAGCTGAAAGAATCATATTAGATAAGCTCCTGTCATTTGCTTTCGAAAATGACCTTATCCCTAAGAATCAGCATGGATTTCTCCCTGGTCGATCAATAATGACCAACCTTCTCCACTCTCTCAACGATTGGACTCAGTATCTGGACACAAAGACTCCTGTTGATATAATCTACTTAGATTTTTCTAGGGCTTTCGATCGCGTACCACATAGAAGGCTTCTGTTTAAGTTGGAATGTATGGGAATAAGAGGCGAGTTGTTACTGTGGATTAAGGCTTTTCTCACCGGGAGGACTTTCTCTGTGCGTGTCAGTGATAACCAGTCTCTCCTTCATCATGTAGCAAGTGGAGTTCCTCAAGGCTCTGTCTTGGGGCCAGTGCTGTTCCTTCTGTATATAAGTGACCTGCCCGCATTGATTTCCTCCACATGTTCAGCTTATGCCGACGACACCAAGATTTACAATACTGTCGTAAATTCTGCTATGCTTCAACGAGATCTTGATATTGTTTGTCAATGGTCAGTCAGTTGGCTTTTACCCTTAAATCTAACTAAGTGTTGTGTCCTTCACCTCGGGAAGACAAATCCGCGATTTACATACAAGATCTCTGACCACAACATCGAAGCAGTTTCCAGCCACACTGATCTGGGCGTTGTAGTCAACGATCGTCTTTCCTGGTCAGAGCATATTCACCACGTTACATCAAAAGCCAAGAAACTTCTATACATGCTGGAGATGCCTTTCAAAGGATCCGATGTCAACACTTGCGCCTACATTTACAAGGCATTCGTGAGGCCAATTCTTGAATTCGCTGGCCCGGTATGGGACACTGTGCTTCTGCGCGATAGAAATCTCGTCGAATCAGTACAGCGTCGGGCTACTCGTATCCCTTTTGGAGCACGAAGACCAAGCTATGAAGATCGCCTTGAATTATTCAATCTGACCTCATTCTCTGAGCGAAGACTTCGTGGCGATCTTATAGTTACGTTCAGGATACTTCATGGTTTGATGGGCACCAACCTCATGCATCTATACCGTCTGTCGCGCAGCAATCTACGCGGACACAGCTTCAAACTGCATAAGGAGCCATTTAAAACAACAGCCCGACAGTGGTTTCTTCCCAACCGCATATTCAACACCTGGAATAGTTTACCCGAAAGTGTGGTTGGTGCTACTTCAGTTAATAGCTTCAAAGTGCAGTATGATAGCTGGAGGAGTGTACAAACAAGCTATGAACTGTCTTTTTTTTATTTTTTTCTATTTGATGTATTTGTGTTACGTGTCCGTACACTATATTACTGCATGAGCTTATAGTACTGTGTAATCTGCTCATCTCAATTATCATAATAATAATAGTAATAATAATAAATGGTAAGACGACTTAATTTGTTCTCATTTGTCGGTTCATGTGGGA